CTGGGGCAGCCAGAACATGAACTGGCACCCGTATCGGATCCCGGTGCGTGCAAAGTGAGGATTTAACCAGTAGGCTACCACGCCAGACCCTGCTGCACTCTCAAAATACATACAAAGGTTTTTGTTTTGCTTTGAAATGTTTTTTAACCTATTCTAAACCAAACATAAGTACCTAGCAATTTCAAAGATTCAGTGGAATTAAAACAATCTACACTGGGCCTGGCGCAGTAGCTTAGTGGCTAAAGTCCTTGCATGTGCCAGGATCCCATATGGGCACCAAATCATGTCCCAGCTGCTCCACTTCTCTTCCAGCTCCCTGCCTGTGGCCTGGAAAGCAGTCAAGGACAGACCAAAGCCTTGGGACCCTGCATCCACGTGGGAGACTCAGAGGAAGCTCCTGGCTTTGGGTTGGCTCAGCTCCAGATACTGTGGCCACTTGTAGAGTGAACCAGTGGATGGAAGGTCTTCCCGTCTCTCCTTCTCTATGTAAACCTGACTTTCCTGTAAGAATAAATAAATCTTAAAAAAAAAGAAAGTCCAGCCAACAGCATGCAGCATATGACTATAGAACAAGCTGCCATCACCAGCTATACGGCTAATATTCTTTTCTATGCTGGAATTTCCAAACCAATATGCCTATGCCTTTCATCACAATTACCTTAGAAAAACAAGTGTTGGGCACGGTGCCGTGACCTAGTGGCTAAAGTCCTCATCTTGAATGCGCCAGGATCCCATATGGGCTCCGGTTCTAATCCCAGCAGTTCCACTTCCATCCAGGTCCCTGATTGTGGCCTGGGAAAGCAGTCGAGGATGGCCCAAAGCCTTGGGACCCTGAACCCGCGTGGGAGACCTGGAAGAAGGTTCCTGGTTCCCGGCTTCCGATCGGCGCAGCACCGGCCGTTGTGGTCACTTGGGGAGTGAATCAGCGGACGGAAGATCTTCCTCTCTGTCTCTCCTCCTCTCTGTATATCTGACTTTGTAATAAATAAATAAATAAATCTTTTAAAAAAGGAAGAAAAACAAGTGTTTCTCACCTTATTCCCAAACAAGGTATAGAATTTCCCAAGTTCCCACACACAGTTTTCAAAAGGCCTTTTTTCCCTCTCCTCTGCAAGTAAAAGCAATTTGTCTGGGCTCCATTCCAATCCAGGATTGGTTTTTTTTGTTTTGTTTTGCTTTGCTTTCCTTTAGCTTACCTTTGCTCTCATGAAGAGTGAGATTTAAAAAAAAAAAAAAAAAGGGAATTTTACATAAATAATTAAAATCCACAAATTAAGGCTTGGGTTCTTCACGATCCTGAGCCCTGTGTGCAGACCCACAAAACCAGAACAGAAAACCTGCTCCCAGCCCCACCTCCCTCTCGCCAGCAGAGAACCCCGCCGGCGATCCCTGGCTCCCCTGTTCCTTGGTCCCCAGCTCTGACCCATTCCACGGTTTTCTTGGTTCCTCTCCGAGAGGATCTCTGACACGCAGCCTGCTCATTGGAGTCCTTCTCCAAGCTGACCATGAGCGCACATGCTTAGCCCAGCCTTTCCCCACCGCTAAGGGAATATCTGTTGGTTACTACCAACTGCACATGCCATACCCCTGGGAAACACACCCAAGGCTTCCAACAGCGTCCAGAACTCTATCTCTTCCGCCCTTGACCCTGGGAGAATTGAGGGTCAGTCTCCAGCTTCTTTCGTCTATACTCTTCTTAAGCCCTCAACCTCCCGTGGTCTGCTCAGACTGACAGAGCCTCTGAATTACGCCCAACTGGCCCTTTCAAGTCCAGCTTAGAGTCACTTCTTCGGAGATGTCTTCCCCAGGCAACCTCAACTGCCACCCGGGAGGGCTTCAGGCTTCAAAGGCATATGCTGTTCCGACTGACAGCTTCCAATGACAAAATGTGCTACCTTCCGTTCGGATCACACACTTGCCTCAGTCAGGAATACCCTGGGAATGCAAAAGACACACCCGCCTTTGCACTCAAGTCTCCGTGAATTGATTCTGCCCTAGCACACCTTTTTAAAGCACTTTTATTCTTACTTTCTATTCTTTTTTTTTTTCCTTGCATGTTTTTCCCCTAGGGCACGCTTGTCTCAGAACAGGGATTTGGGGAGCAGAAGTGTCAGCAGTAGCCAGAGCTATTTTAAGCCGGGGGGGGGGGGGGGGGGGGGAAGGGAGGGAGGGGAGGAGCCTATGTAATACGAGTAGGAACAGGGAAAGGAAGCTAAAGGAACAGTTTACCCCCAATGCATGAAGCTGTTCCTGTGACCACTTCAAACGGACCTGGAATCAGCTTACAGAACTGCACCTGAAGGCACAAAGCAAGAAGGGGGCAGTAGAGTTTACCAGCGGGGAGAGGGGAGGGTCAGCCTGCAGCTGTGCACCTGCCAGCTGTCTTAAGGCAACTGAAACACACACCAAACAGCAAGTTACTCATCCGACGCGCAGGAGGAGGAAGCACGGACATCCTATTGCTTACTTAGGAATTCATGACTCAGAAGTCATCATGACCCTGTGCTTTAAGCAGAAGTCGTGCTTTCTTCCTAAAAAAAGGAGCAGATCACGTGGACCCAAGGGATCCACCACTCAAAAGCTCTGTCCCAGCACACGATCAACCCTTCCTGAACCAGAAAGAGGCTGTGCTGGGTGGAGCATCCCCAGAAACGGTCCTCACCTGCCTAGGCCTATCCTCCTTACCATCCTCTCTGCATTTTTACTCCCATGATGACTTGCACAAACCTCAGAGAGTCCTCTTGTGCCGAAATCTCGGTGAGCTTCAGCTATAGGCGAGGAAGCTTTAAACACTTTGTAGAAAAACGGAATGAATTTTTTTTTAATTTTAGTACCCAAAATGCCGGGAATCCATGCACAGTAGTTTCATCATTTGCCTTTTCTCTGCATTTTTCAGAAGACCCCCATCCACAGGAGACCTCCCTCACTGGCCACTGCTGTCCATCCCATCTCCCAGGATCAGCAAGGGAGTCAGCAAAATGAAGGCTTATTTGGGAGGCAGCAGTCGGGGGCCGAGAGTGATTGGATCTGTCCCTCTGGGGGGGAGGGGGAGACTCGGATTCCTGACTCCTGCCTTACTGTGGCCCAGCCCCAGCAGGTGTCAATATATGGACGATGAGCGAGCCAGCCGTTAGGAGCTGTGTCCCCGTTTGGCTCTCTCACTCTGTCTCCTCAGCCCCCACCGGCCCCCAACCTCTAAGTTTTAAACAATTTAAATATAAGGGATCTGTAAAAATGAAAATGATTCATGTCACAGTTGACAGGCTGTTGTTGGTTTCACTCACTGAAACCATTGTGAAAACAAAAATCTTTGGGGGCCCGGGGCTGTGGCACAGGGATTAAGCAGCCTGCAGCAACACCCACACCGTATGTGGGCACTGGTTTTGAGTCCTGGCTGCTCCACTTCTAGCAGAAAATCATGCAAGTGCATGGGCCCCTGCAGCCACATGGCAGACCCGGTGGGAGAGCCAGGTAGAGCTCCTTTACCTGGCACAGCCCTGGCTACTGCAGCCACCTGGGGAGTGAAGCAGATCGCTCTCCCTCTCATTTAGTTAACTCTTCTAAAGCAATAAATAAATCTGTTTTTAAGAGGCGCTTAATCCCTGAACATACCCATCAAGCCGAATTCCTCCCAGAAAGACAAGTTTCCCATGATTAAGCCGAACTCTCTGCAATGTCCCCCCAGTGATGCGAGCACACAGAACACCTGCCAGCCACTAGCATCTTCAGCGGCTCGAGTATTGCCAATGGAAACTTACAGCCCTGGCACTGCAGGTCCCTGAGCCGGAGGGCATGCATGTGCTGGGTTTGTGAAGTAACAGCGAGAAAGCATGCGTGTGAACGTGGAAACAGGGGTGGTGATAGACCCCCCCCCCCAGGAAGGAGGGTGCCAGAGGTCTTCCTAGGCACATTTCCGTGCAGTGGACTCAGAGTCCTCACCTCCAGTGAACTTGCCTGCCAGCCAACACAAACAAACACCAGTTTCCCTGCTATGGATTCTCCGTCTAAAGTAACGGACCCAAACCAGTTCCACGGAAACCCAATCTGTTCTGGAAGCTTCACACTCCCCTGCCACCCGCCTTGGAGAGCCCGGCCAAAGATGACCTCAGACAGAGATGGGATCAAACTAGCAACTTCCTTTCTGGGATGATCTGGGCCCAAGACCGAGCACTCAGACTTGGCCCTCCTAAGAAGGGTGTCCCGGGCTTCTACTTCATCCAGGCCTCGGGTTGCTTCTGGCCCCACTGAGGTCAGCTCAGACTCAGCACCACACCCACAGAAGGCTGTCAGCAGAAGGGGGGACTTGGTAGGGGCCAGAGAACCCACGACTGTGAAATGGAGATCCGGCTGCACACAGCCATGCGAGTGAAACTATCAACATTCGTGGTGGTGGTGGGGGATTCGGGGGGGACATAATGACATGTGACATGAGCCCTAGCTTGGGGGGTGGGTACAAAGGGCACTGTCTGCTCCACTAATTAGCTCATCAGAAACGAGGGAAACTTCTACAAATCAGTTCTGCACCGAGTCCTCAACTTCAGGTCACATGGGATGAAGACATTATTTTTGCTGATGCTCCACAGGACAAAACGAATGACTGAAAGGTCCTCTATTTGCAGACACTCCGTGAAACGAATGACCTGCACCGTCTGCACCTGATCATTGCCTATTTCATCTGTCCTCCTTCAAGATACGAACATGAGATGCTGCTGCAGAAGGCATCATTTCAAATGAAGACAACTTCCGTTTTTGCGAAGGATCTTTTTCCATTTTAATCTATACAGCACAGAATGAGCAACTTGGCACCAAGCTGCAGGCATTTCAACAGAGAGGTGTGATAGAGATAGGAGGAGGTACACAGGGGTAGGTTTTCTATCCACAGCCTCAGGTTAAACCCACACGGACGGAAAGTTCTACTTCCACACCCCGTACTTTTGTTCTTGGGCTCCCACAATCAGCAACGGGCAAGGGAAGCAGAAAGCATGAAGTCGGGTACTTACTGATCCCTTGAAAGAGTTCTTCGATGTTGATGGCATTTTTTGCACTCGTTTCCACCACGATCGCGCCTATGGATTCAGCGTATTCCTTTGCATCCTTCAGCGGAACCTCCCTGGAAAAGAGGCCAAAGCCAGAGAGAAATGAGAGCTCTTCTGCAACACATGGGCAACCCCGCAAGGCCAAACAGCACGTGCACAATCAGCAACTCTCCTTTCCCCGAAGACTCAGAACTCAACCCCTCGGCAAGCACCGAAAGCTTAAAATGGGAGAGCCCTGGGACATGGATGAGCATATCCCAAACAACGCTCTGGTCGCTCTGGTCCTGTTGGAGGACAAAAATCTGGGATGGCAGGGCCAAGCATGGTGGGCAGGGCAGTCCCAGCTGGGTAGAGACCCCTGGAAGAGAGTCCAACTCAGTTGCCATGGTGACAGCAGTACGAGGAGGCGGGACCTGGAAGAGGGGATGAAGCCACAGGACTGCTCTTTCATCAGCATCACTAGCATGATCATCGTCGTCATGAAAGGTCGAGCTCAGGTCCATTTCACCTCTTTGCACTTCTATCTCCCACCGTGGGAAAGGTGAACTACTACCATCTTCCTGAGGAAGCAGAATCCAACTTGTTCTCTTTCCTGCCATTCCGTGGTGTCATCACAGCCATACAGACTGGACTCAGGCCAGTGTCTGCTTTTTCCAAATGGGGCTCAAGGTTAGAACACTAACAACACCGTGAGAACATGTGTGATGTGCCTTTGTGAGTCGGTGCGTTGTTTTTCACAAAGCAGAGAAAGCATACACTGTGGCAGGATGGTTTGGGAACGAGCCTGGTAAGGGCTCCGACTGCCATGACGGCTGTGACGCAGTGTGGCTGAGCTGCACCTTCACCTTGACAAAGCTGTGTCCGCAGGGCTGAGGAAGACACAGTTCTTGTCCTCCAGGAAGTTCATTTATACCACAGATATTTATTGAGCTGTTGTTAGGTCCCTTCCTCCTCCAAGTAGTAAGAACAACTCACACTGCCTCCGGGAAGGAACATGTGAGAACAAAGGCAAACAGAACAACACTGTGGTCACTGTGACCCACGACAGGGTAGCCAAGCGCTTCCAGATGGAGGGCTGGGAAGTGACAGTGTGACCCAGGGAAGCCAGGAGGATGCCCCGGATGGAGCAGGGCACCTTGCATGTGCCTGTGAGGGTCTAGGCAGATGCAGGCGGGATCCAGCTACCTGAGCAAGGCCTGGAGGTGGGACATTGCTGTGCTCACCCCAGATGTTACTGCACCCCATACAATCTTGGGTGTTAGAATGTCCAGGAGGCCTGAGTGGCTGGAGCCTCGAGCAGGAGGCCCCAGGATTAAAGTGGGCTATGCAAGGTCTCCTCACAGAGCAGGAGGAGGTGGGGAACACGGAGGGCCCCGCTGCAGGAGGCCAGAGCGGAGGATGGTGATGGATGCCAAGGAAGGGCAGGGCACGACCAGCAGGGTCCACGCCGATCTGCTTCTATTTCCTCCTCTCCCTCTTGGCTGTTCACAAATGGTTCCAATGGATGGACAGCTACCAGGGAAATTCAAATGCCAGCTTAAATGCAGGCAGCCTTTGAAGGCCCCTACAGGCTTCTCCACACCTAGACACAGATCTTGTTAAATCCGTGACCTGCCCAAGATGACACAGCTGATGAGCGCTGGGGGCAGGGCCGCACCCAGCTCGTACTGCCCTTGGCATCCTAAGACCATAACCACTCACAGTGTGCCCAGACTTCAGGGCTGACCAAGACAACATTGACAAGGACTGTGTGGGTCCCTGCATATTCTCCAGTTGTCACACACGTGCGGTCAGGTGGAATTGGAAAGACATACCCTGGTCTCCTATGCACCTTAGAACAGGCAGTCGGGACAGGGCGACAATGAGGAAGGACTCATCTGGGCTTTGTTATCACTGCCTGGCCCAGGTTCCCTAAGCCAGCAGTTTCCCAAAGTGCCAGTCATTTAGCAAGAATCCCATTTGACCATACTTGAATTACTGATACAAGGGGGCCCCTTGGTGGCTTCAGGATGGGGCTGGTTGCCAAGGGAACAACCCGGAAACCAAAAAAGTCTCTGTCACAGGAATCAATCACAACTGAAAACAAAACAAACAAACCAACAAACAAAAAAACACCTCAGTGAAAACTCTAAAGCAGGTGCTGGCATCATAGCATATAAGGTTAAGCTTCTACCTGTAGCACTGGCATCCCAGATGAGCACCAGTTCTAGTCCCACTTCTCATCCAGCTCCCTGCTTATGACCTGGGAAAGAAGTGGAGGACAGCAAGGCTCCATGGGCCCTGCTCCCACCTGGGACACCTGGAAGAAGTTTCTGGCTTCAGAAGGGCTTGGTTGCAGTCTTTACAGCCATGTGGGATGAATCAGCAGATGATAACCTCTCTGTGTGTGTAACTCTGCCTTTCAAATAAAAAAATTAAATAAATCTTAAAAACAAAAACAAAACCTCTAAAACACAAGTCCTGGGCAGTTCTGGGTGACACGTGGGAGGGTGCAGCAACAGAAGGATCTGGAAGCTGCACTCCGGCCCCACACCTGGTATCCCTCCCTCGGGCTTCTCCCGGTCGGGGCCAGAAGAGGCAGCAACCCTAGGGGCAGTTCTTGGGAATCTGAGGGCAGGCCGTGGGAGAAGCATGTTGGGCAAAAGCACACATACGCGCTAACCCCGGGTGCTTGTCCGAACTGCAGGCACCAAGCAGCTGGTGTGAGAAGACCATCCGACCACAGTCTGAAGGAGGAGGCTTGCCAAGGGAAAAGTGAACATGCAGCCAGGTAAAGCCACGGACCCCGGGAGCCTCCTCCAGCTTTATTTCCCAAGCCCCCCGCAGCACAGGCTCGAGGCCGTGGAAGGCTGCCGCGCTGATTCCTGCACACCTCTTTCAACAAATATTCATGGAGTGTCTGTTATATGTTGGGCACTGTGCTAGGCCATTAAAAATATGTCAGCTGAGGCTTGTGAACCCAAGTCCAGGCACAGACAGGGTAAACACTTCTACACTTTGTAGACCAGGCCACTTAGAAAACTCCCCCAAGGAGAGGTCGTGCACCGAGCTGGGAGGCAAGGACAATACTCCTCCCCCAGACGCCCTCCACTTCCTCTGCTCCTCCACCGCCTTCTTAAGCGACCCCTGAACATCAGCCTGACTCCAGGCCCCCTTCCAGACCACCCAGAGTTCCATCCCCAGCTGGGGCAGTGTGAGTGGCCAACACAGAGGCTGCGATTCAGTGCTCTCAGCCAGTGGGCGATAGGGATAGCTAGGGGAGTGGGGTTGCCAGAACCAGAGGTACATTCCTCAGGAAATGCTCAATTCAAGGTACCACGGCTAACCACACAGTCAGGTTCAAAGTCCATCCAGGCCTGAGTGATGCAGACGAGGAGGCTCCATGGGCTGGCAGAACAGCTGACGCATTCGTTGAGCGTGCAGCGTGCCTGTGGGCTCTCACTCACCCTGAGTGGAGTGTGCGCATGGGCTCTCACTCACCCTGAGTGGAGTATGCGCGTGGGCTCTCACCCACCCGGGCGTGGAGCGTGCCATGGGCTCTCACCCTCCCTGCATGGAGCAGGCCGTGGGCTCTCACACTCCTGGGCATGCAGCGTGCCATGGGCTTTCACCCACCCGGGCGTGGAGCGTGCCGTGGGCTCTCACCTTCCTGGGTGTGGAGCGTGCCCGTGGGCTCTCACCCACCCGGGTGTGGAGTGTGCCCATGGGTTCTCACCCACCTGGGCATGGGTTCTCACCCACCTGCTCTCTTCATGTGCACACACTTTCCTCTGGGAATACCTAACTGCTGGCCATCTCCACTAGATGGCAAACGGGTGTCACGTGTGTGACTTATGATCAACCACGTCTCATCCACATACCTGCCACTCTTCCCAGAAGCCCGCTGCTTCCCCAGCTAGACACAGCACCATCCGAACCTGCTTCCCCAGCTAGATACAGCACCATTCGAACCTGCTTTCCCAGCAGCCCCGCACACTGAGAACTAGAGCCACCCAGGCTCCTTCGGCCCCCTACACCTTGGTCCAGTTCCACTTTGTTTCTAACAGGGATCCCTATAGCGGCCTCTTCATGCCCTTCCCCCAGCACCACCTGTTATCCAGGTGCTCATGGTGCGGACCTGCCAATATGGCATGGATCAAGTGTTTCTGCAGATGGGGCTCTTTAATGTCTTCCAATCCCCTCAGGATCACCAACGGCTTCACAGGACAAGGCCTCGTGTCTCAGTCCTTGCTCTCTTCACCCTCACAGTGACAGCCATGCACCTGCTCTCACCAGCCTCCCTGTTCCTTGCTGGCTCTGCACTGAGCCTGCCAGAGCCTCAGGTCCTGGTTGCTTAGCGACCTGTGTCTTTCTGTCCTAACAGCATCACCTTCTGAGACCAGCTCCCCATACAGGCCCTAGAGGTCTTAGCAACCTCTGGGGATCTTCAAAGGACCTGAGGCCACTGGATAAGAACCTGTTGGATGACTAGCTGACCAAATCATTCCAAGCCACCTTCAGCAGGAAGGAGGTGAGCAAAGGAGGGGCTGGAGTCCCCAGCAGGAAGTGTAGTCTGGGCCGAGATGCCGATAAAGGCCTTGGGGCAGAGACTCCCTCCCTGATGGGCACTAGGCAAGCCCAAAGGGTGAAACTAAAACCAGCAAGCATCCCCTCCCAGACCCAGAGGTCACTCAACTGGAGGACCATGAGTTGAGTGAAATGAGCAGGACCCAAAAAGCAGACACCTTCTAGGTGGGAGCTAACATTTAAAAAATAAAAGATATGAGCCCAGTGCGGCAGCCTAGTGGCTAAAGTCCTCGCCTTGCCAGGATCCCAAATGAGTGCCGGTTCTAATCCCGGTGGCCGTGTTTCCCATCCAGCTCCCTACTTGTGACCTCAGAAAGCAGTCAAGAACAGCCCAAAGCTTTGGGACCCTGCACCCACGTGGGAGACCCAGAGGAAGAGACTGTAGGTTCCTGGCTTCGGATCAGCGCAGCTCTGGCTGGTGTGGCCGCTTGGAGAATGAATCAACAGATGGAAGATCTTCCTGTTTTTCTCTCCTCCTATGTATATCTGACTTTCCAATAAAAAAGAT